AAGGCCATGCTGACCACAGCTGTGACCACGCTAAACCCTACTGTCCAGGAGGAGTCTGTTGGTGGACCTGTTAGTGAGACTACCACAGAGGGTGGTGTTGATATGGAGCAAAGCTCTGCTGCTCTTTCAACAAACTCTCTTTCTGGGGTGGCTGTGGAGGAGGAGGTGGCTGAGAGCAGCTCACACCCCTCGGCTGTGTCCCAGCCCACGCTGCAACCCAGCTCTCCCAGCTTGGAAACAGCAAGTGACCACCCTGTCATCCTAACTCACCAAGCTTACAGTGTGACCTCCAAGATGGAGATGCCAAGAGCCCACACGGGGAGCCCTCTGAAGCTCCTGGCTGTGCGAGTGTCCATGGCTGCAAAACAACCCCTCACAGCAACTGAGGCCCCCATTGGCCTGGAAGAGGGGATGAGTGTCAGCCAAGGAGAGCTGCCTGCCACGGCTGGTGTTGTCACCATCCACCCTATGGACACTGTGCCACCTGACTGGGATGACACAAAACTGGGGGATATAAGTCCAGGAGGAAGCACATCTCGTGATGAGGTGACAGAGGACCAAGGGGCAACAGAACCATCCCAGACCCTGCAGGGAGGTGTGGGGGAGGAAGAGGATGCAACAAGAGTGCTGCCATCTCCAGTGTCCCCTCCACCAATTCCTGGGATTGCTGAGGAGACCAACTGCACAGTGCTGGTGCAAGGGGAGAAGACACCTACAGCTTCCACAGACAGCAGTGATGCTCTTCACACTGTGAACCTGACGGATGTAGACATGGCTGATCTCAACTCGCTAGAAAACACAAATGTGGTCACAACAGAAGGGAAAAGCATCCCACCATCACAGCCAGAGGCTGCTGTGGTGACAGATACACAGTCCAATCTCTCTCCTACTCTGGAAAGCTCACGGAAAGGTAAAACTTGGCTGTTGCAGACACTTGCCTCTCAGTGTAGATGTAGGAGGGATGCTCTTGGGACTCTGTGCTGCTTTTCAGGAAGATAAAGTGGAGAAAGTTGTGATCTTGGTACCTGCAATAGAGGTAGGACACCCCTTACCCCTCCCCAGGAAAGGCCCTGGGCCTCTGTGGAGGGGTGACAGCCTTAAGCAGATAACTCTCACCTATAAAGTACTGCCTAGCCTTGGCTGTTCCTAGACATGATGTCCCTCAGTACAGGAAGGTGCAGTCTGTTGGTTGTACATTGTCTTGGATCTTATGTGAAGCAACTGCATTGATCTGCCTCTTCTGCTCCTCAAGCTGAGAGAGGGTGGTTGTAGCAGCAAAGAGGAGAGCTGAGACTGGAAAGGCTGTGACAGCTGAGCCTGGGTGGATTAATGTGCTTGAGTATGGCAGTGTATAGAGAGAATTGGGGTCCCATCAGCAGAGGCGTGGTGCTAGTTGGAAAAACTTACTGACTTAGTGAAGTTCTGCATGTGTGGTGTACTATCAAAGCAGGGGCTTCAGCATCTCACCTCAACCAGAGATGCTTCTGAATAGCCCTCTGGTATGACTCTGCTGTGACTAGAGAGGGAGCCCAGCCTCTGACCAACTGATTGAGCACTTGATTTCAAGGAGGATAATGCTGCCCAAAGTGACCCTTTGATATGGCAAGTGCTTACTCTGAAGCCCTGCAAAGCAGAGGGAGGAATAATTGCTGGGGTGTTAATTAACATCTGGGATCACTTGGCTCTCAACTGCTAGATGTGGACACTTGCTGAAGATGCAGAGATAATGGATGGTTAGAAATGCTTCTTGAATCCAGGGATAGATAGGCTATGCTGGTAGCCTGTGAGTGACTGACATCTTCTATGACTTTACAAGGATGCTCAGATCACAAAATCTGTCCAGAACTTTGTCCCTTGTAACAAAAGCTCCTGGTGTTGAGTCTCACCCTCCTAGAATGAAGCTGTGTCCAGGCTCTGACTGTCCACTGGCTGTGCCAGCTTTGTTACCAGCAGGCAGAAGTCTTCCTCCTAGATAGCCTGCCATGGGCTGATGGTGTCACCCTGAGCTATGCTTACCTGCAGAGGCTGTACCTTTGGCCCAATGACCATTTTTTCTACTCTGTATTTAAAATACAGGAGGAATGTTTAAAAAAGTCTGGTCAGGTTTTGGGCAATGACGTGTTTCTGGGCTGATGAAGACTATGAGCTAGGATTTTGTTTTAATTGCTGGATGTCTTTAATCTTCTCCTTTAAGCTGCAGGGGCAAAAGGACAACTTCCCCTCAGTGTATCCAGAAGATCTATATTTTGCTGTAAAAGAAGGAAAGCTAATAGCATTCTGGTGCTGAAACCTGACTGATTAATTTCTAGATGAATGTATAAGTACTTGACTTATCAGCAGGTTCCCTCTCTGTTGTTTCCCAGATGTTGGGGAAACAACACTATAAATAAGACTTATACAACAAAAAAAACCCCTTCTACAAAGCTAAAGTCTTGTAGCTACGAGAGCTGGTCACTAAACCCACTGCTCTGGCAGCCTCACATGCTTCAAATAGCATTTCCCACTGTGGACCAGCAGTGCTGTGCTCCCATGGTGTTGCTCCCCAGTAGGTCTGTGTGTCTCTAAGGGGCAATTAAGAAAATGAGGACTGATTGTGCTGCCTTCGTTGCTGTTACGCACTTTCTCACGTCTGTCTTTGAGCTGTGCTGCCCTGCTGATACTTGGCTGGACCTGCTGCTTGCACTCTGGCTCTGGAAATGCTAATTCATGAAGTTATGTTCCTTCAAATGTCTGCTCTGTTGCTGTCAGCTGTCCTCTGTGTTTGTACTGACGCATGTTCTTGCTGTAGATTTTACTCAGGAGGTGACAAGAATTGCCCAAGAGGCTTATACTGCTCCGTCAGTTGTGACACTGGTGCCTGGTGCTACCCAGGGAACAGGAGCTGCAAGCTTTCCACTGGAAAACAGTGAGGAGGACACCCAGATGCCAACAGTTCCTAGTGCCACCCAGATGCTGGTGACAACTGGTACTTCCTCTATGGTGAACACTCCAGATGTAGAAGGTAGGGTTCTGCTTCAAGGTTCACTTTTCACACGAGATGAGATGGTACATCTGAAACCAGTACCAATGCTTGGACCCTCAAGTCTCCACACACAACATCCATATTCTAAGGGACTTTTTTTTTCTAGCCTTTTGCAGGCAGCCTCTAGCCCTGGGCTGCCACTACCTTCTGCCTGTGCTACCAGATCCACCTCACTGAAATCTGCCAGCATATGTGTTTTTTGCCCCAAATAACAGTGGAGTAGAGATTTTCTTAAAAACCACCCCAAACCAAACAAAACCCTCATGTCTATCCTTGATAGCAAGCTGACTTTTAGCCTTGGACATTTAATCCAGTTTTTATGGGGGGAAAGCTTTTACCTCTGAAGCCAAAGGCAGCCAGATTGCTGATGGATGGAGGATGAAAATGCGTCATCAGGGTGATATGGGAGCAGTGGCTGGAAGGTAGACACCCTCTTGTGAGTCTGGCAAGCCCTGGGGTGTGGGAGCCTGCACTGATATTCTCTTCCACTGAGGAATGGTAAGCTCTTCTCAGGTTGATGTAGCTCATACTGAAATATTTTAAACAGTTGTGTTCATCTAGCTGCTGCCTTCTGGTTCAATGTCACCTTGGCAGGTATGTGTAGGAGCCTGTCTTCTTAACAGGAATGCAGCAAGGTGTCCCTCAGCACAGAGCTGGCTTTGAGCTGGAGTGTATTTCTGTAGTAGTAGGTACCACTGTAATGAAACTGCTGCTGGGCAGCTTTTCTGGTAATTCTTATATTTCAGGGCATCAAAAGAAGAAAAAAAAACCTGTTTGCATTGTATCTCTTAAATTAAAGTCCCTTTTGTGGGGGAGGGAAAGCTCTTCCAGCAGTTTGCACTAATTAATTTGCTTCTGGGATTTAATTATAAATTCAACTAATTTTTATCTTTGCAATGAAGAATTGGATCTGTCACTCGGTTCAGATCTCAACCAGTGTCTCAGTGCTCTGATCTTGCTATGGGGTGGTGAGTAGCAGTCCTCAAAGCAATGGAAGTAAAACCTAGCTGAGCCCTCATTAAGGGGAACTGCCTGTGCTGGCTCTCCTGGAGGAGAAGCTTTCATTACAGCAGAGTCTTGGAAGAGACAAGAGTTTAATAACTCCTTCCACTCTGAATTAAGTTTTCATTAAGGAGTTTGTTCTTCAATGGTGGGTTTTCTACTGTTGTGCCAAACTGCTGCTGCTTTTGTCTTCTCCAGATCTCACAGATGTGGCCCTGGCCACCAGTGAGAAGGCTGTTCCAGCTTCTGATGAGTTGTCTGCTACCCAGTCTGGACAGACAGAGGAGCCATCCAGCAGAGCTGTGGTCCTGGTAACTCCAGCATCAATGGCATCTTCTGTCAGGAGGACAGCTCTTCCATCTGTGAGGAAGATCAGTACAGCTGTGACCTATGGGCTGGATCGCCTGGAGTCAGAAGGTACCACTAAACCCAAGGCTGAGAAGCAGGCAGTTTCATGTGGAATGGCACGCTTGCCTTGACACAGAGTCTCCAATCTATTTGGCACGTGGCTATGTGGATGTTGTTGCCAATAAAGTTGTTGAACAACCTGTCCCCTTCCAGGAGGTACAGGAAGCAAGCAGTGAACAGTGTCTTGGAGGATGCTTGAACTTCGAGTGGCTGTGGTGGGAGGGATGGGGTTTTCTCTTGGAGAGGGAGCGGCAGTGGTATTGCTGTTGTGGTAGAGTTTGGCTCTGCTGGTGTGTGTGTTGATTACAGAACCTCTGGAGCAGATAACACTCATGGGAATGTGTTCAGACAGCTGGAGAGCCCTTGCCACCCTACTGCTGAAATCCTCGCTGCCTGCAGTGCAGGGGGATGGATGTTCAGCATGAAATGGCTATCGTGGTGTCCAGCTGGCTGAAACCTTGCCAGGACAAGTCATGCCCTATTCATGCTCCATATGTGACACTGCTGGGAGAGGCAGAAGATGCATTCCCTTTGAGATGGTCTTCCTGCTCAGTGCTACCTGCTAAGCTGTTCTCCCATCACTGGTTCTTCCAGCCTTGCCTCTCTCCCTGGGCTCCCTTCTCTTAAACTACTTTTGCCCATGGACAGTCTTGGAGTCTCTGCTCCCTGTCTGTCCTTGGACAGCTGAAACCCAGTGATGCAAATTCTGCCAGGGCAAGTACCCATCAAGAGAGGTTTAGGTGAAGTTGATCTTAATCTGGAGTTGGTCTGTAGCTCAGATCTGGTGTCTCTTCAGCTCACCCATTATTTTCCTGCAGAGAATTGTTTTGCTTCTGCTTCTTGCTCTTTCTCCTAAGAGAAAGAAGAGAGCCTCTTCTCTGCTGGCTCATCCATCCAGTTTTGTACTCCAATGTCTGGACTGACACCACCTGGCAGGGATTAATCTTTCTGCCTGTTTTGCTCCCCTTCCTTTATCTTGACCTTCTCCCGCCTTCGTGTTTTACTGCAAAGGTTGGCAGCCCTCCAGGAGTGGCATGCCAGATGGTATTTTGCTTCTGATGAGAGGTGGGGTGCCATAGACAACAGCTAATCAGCATCTTTTCTCTGCAGGAAGCAATAACTCTCACTCCTGTTAAGTTTGGAGGGCAGCAGAAGCTGGGAGCCTTCCTCATAGCATGTGCAAGGTGCTGCAGCTCCTGTTCTCTGCCAGGCTTGCTGGTTGCTTTGAAGCCTGCCATGAGCTCTCTGGGCCTCCAGCTACATCCCTCACCCCTTGCCAGGATGAATCTTGCATGGATGTGGTGGCATGAGGATGTGGTGCTGATGATGGGAGAGCGGCAGCAGGGGAAGAAGGGCATGTGTAGGGGGAAAACCTGATCTTTCAGGCTGGGAAATAAGGTCCCTGCTTAGCAGGAGCAGTATGATTCAGGAGGCTAAACTGTTTCTGAGCCCTCTGGGATCTCCTTTCAGATCCTGGTTTTCTGCTCAGGAAGAAGGATTTCGGTTTCCACTGAGCATTGGTCTCTCCCTGTTTAACGAGACTTTCTGCATAGGCATTTAAAAACCATCTTTCTCCTCTAACATAGGACTGCTACAACTTGGGTTTCTACTGAGCTCCTGCCCAACCAAAGGCCTGTTTTCTCTGCTCTTGGATATGCTCTGAACAACTCTAAGGGCAGATGTGGGCTGTAGCTCTGACCAGCTTTCCTAAATGAAGATGAAAGAAGGAGAAGGCTGTGGGTTTCTTGGCTCTGGCTCTGCAGGAACCTGTTGTCCAAGGGACATGGTGCTCTCTGGGGTGCTGTATGGTTTTGACAGCTGGCATGGCTCTTTGTGGTCTAAATCTATTCTGATCAACCTGGACCTTAGTGCAACAAGCCAGAATTTTCCCTGGTGTTAGAGATCACCAATCCACATCTTCTAAAATGGGACAAATACCACTTGGGGATAGGCTCACTGCCTGGGGATGCTGCTGCCCCAGTTAAGCACAAAGGAAGCTTTTGAGCTGTGACTCTGCTTTCTAATCTCTTTTCTCTGTGTAATGGCAGTTAGGGGGTACCACGTCCTTCTAGTGAAGTGCCATTTGGAAGCTTGGTTTCTGTTTCCCCCAAAATCACAGTTCCTAGTGGTTACTCTCAGAATATCTAGATGCTGACAGGTACAAGATGTTTGGGAGTGCTTTCCTATGAAGCTATACTGAGCTCCAGCCCAGGGTGCCCAAGATCTTGGGGGATGCAAGGTCAGACGTCACTACTGTTTGCAGGCGAATGCTCAGGTCCCTGATGCTGAGGAGGAACTTTTTACAAAGACAAGTAGTGACAGAACAAGGGGTGATGGCTCTAAACTGGAAGAGGGTAGGTTTAGATTAGATATTAGGAAGAAATTCTTTCCTGTGAGGGTGGTGAGACGCTGGAACAGGTTGCCCAGAGAAGCTGTGGCTGCTCCTCCCTGGAAGTGTTCAAGGCCAGGCTGGATGAGGCTTTGAGCAACCTGGTCTAGTGGAAGGTGTCCCTGCTGATGGCAGGGGGGTTGGAACTGGATGAGCTTTAAGGTCTCCTCCAACCCAAACCATTCTATGGCTCTGTGAGGGATCTTGGCCCTCTGTGGGGAGGCTGTGCCTTGCTTACTGGTGGAAGAGGTGCAAGGAGCTGAGGGAGCTTGGCTTGTCTCCACTGCCTTCAGTGGGGTCTTGCTGACTTGCCTCACTGAGGGCCTGGCTCATCATTAAATATAAACCCCTGCTGTTCTGCTAGCTCTGTTTCTTGGGGACCATCTGTGCCAAGCTGCCTGCAGTTAATTGCATCAGTATATTCACCTACCTGGCTTGGATGCAAAAGTGTTTTAAAAATCAAATTGCACAGACAAATATGAGGTGCTTTGAATATGTCTCCAGATGAGCTTATCCTCCTCTGTAGTGGACTCTGGGGAGATTATCTGGGTAACAAATATCCTCCTACCTTGGCTCTGTGGTCATACTGGTTCTACTTGCCCTTCCTAGCTGGAGAAATCCTATAAAGGGATTATAGGATATGGGGACAGGACACAGCAGAGGATGAGGCTTACTTGACTGGAAGATGTAATTATATATTTTGTTTCCATGCCCAGAATTTGTGTCATCTAGCAAGTTAAACACTGCAGCTTTCTCTGTAGGGCTTCTAGGGTCCAAAGAGATATAATTTAGTTCAGCTTGACTACTCAGGACCACTGTGTGAGCCTCCCAACACACTTTGAAAAGTGGCTCTTTTAAAAGAAACCATGTTCCTTTTGGACTAGATTCCTTTTGCTGTGACATCCCCCGTGGCAGGTATGGGCAGAGATGGCTGCATTCCTTCAGTATGGCAGCACTCAGCAGGTATAACTTTCCAAAGTGGTAAGTCATCTGCCACATTCCCTCTTCTGCAAGATCCTCGTACTTCTTAGTTGTAACCTGGTAGACAGAGCACAACAGCAGCTGGCTCTCCTTGGCAGGTCCTCAAGTAGCTCCTGTCACTGCTCTGTATGGGATGTGATCCAAGGATGCACTGAGCCCAAGGAGAAGGTTGGTTAGAGCACTTTCTATGAGGACCTTGAAGATCATATTTTCCTTGTGTGCTAATCCCAATCCAGCACTCGGTACAGATCTAGCCTGCTGCCAAAAGTGATGCTTTGCCCATCACACCTTGGGTCACAGGCCAGTTCATTGTGACAGCACCATTGCCTGTGGCTGTTGGTGAGGGTGGGTCTGCAGACTCAAGGTTTGGTTTTCTTTTGTGCCACCACACTGCCTAGACAGCAAAAACTCACCTGAAAGGGCTGAAGGTGGTGACTGTGGAGCAAGGCACACAGGGTTGAGAATGGGAAGGTGTCTTGGCATTCATCAGACCATGCCAAGATTAATTTTCTGACATGTAGGGCAGATGGCAGTGTGCCTTCCAAGGCTGCTCAGATGCAGCAGTAACAGCTGCCTCTTGGTGTACCTGTGTTTCAATCTACAGGTCTCTAGAAGCCCTTCAGCTGTTAGACCTCCACATACTGCCCTTGCTGCATCCAGACTCATCAGGAAGACAGTTTAAGCTCAATGCTGCCCACTCCCTGCAGCTCAGTAAGCTCCAACTTGGCCCACTTCAGCATTAACTTGAGATTTGGAAACTGTTTACTTTTGGTGATTTTTGAGATGGAGGGAAGAACAAATAATCTGGCTCTTGCTGGTCTCCCATAGGTCTTTTTAAAAAGAACTAAAAAGAATGTTATGCATTGGTGTTTCTGATGTCTACCCTATTTTTTGTGTACTCCATACCCCACCAAAATCCAAAACTACTCTGTGATAGTGTGTAGACCCAAGGTTGTTTCCTGTTCAGTCATCTAGGCTTGCTTCAATCCGTTGTTGCTGGAGGGTGAGCTCCTTACATGGTTCAGATTTCACGTAGGCTGGTGGAGGGGGAGGGTATTTAGAGCTTTATAAAAGCAGGAGATGCTTTACCTGTTTGATGTCAGGAACAGTCAGTAGCTCTGAAAATGGCCAACTTAAACTTGGCTGCTCCAGAGGGAGATTTTAACCCCTGTTATGTTCCCGATTAATCAGGCTGGCTCTCAGTGTTGCAGCTGGCAGAATCCTGGGCATTTGGATGGAGAGGAATAATCCAGGGGTTGGAAAGGCAATGTCAGATGTCTGCTGCCTAGTGCCATTTCCAGTATTCTGCCTGGTACTGGTGTGTCCTCACCTAATGCAGCATTTGGCTGTGGAGAAACCCCTAAGTGATGCTGAAACACAGCTGGGATCAGCAAATCCAGTGTCCTGCAGTCATGGGTCACCTCCCCTCTGAACCTTGGCTGTGGGCTTCACTGCGTTTGCTCAGTCTACTGTGTTAAAGGCTGTTCCAGAACAGTTCCAGTATGAAGCTTTAAACTTTCTGATCCTAACATAGTTGTGGTATTTTAATACTGACTTATTGTTTGGGTTTAAATGGTTCTTATCATTCTTTGCTGAGCTGTGTAATCATGTTTATCCTTCTAAGGAAACCGTAGGGTTC